TAATTAAAAAATAATATTTTTTAGTATTATTTTTTTATAGAATAATAAATAATATTTGTAATAATAATATTATTATAATTAATTAAAATAACTAAAAAAATTAATATAGAAAAAAAAAGGACAACAAAAGGACAAAAATGCAAAAAAAACAAACAAAAGGAAATGATGAAATAGGAGATAGAGGTGCCTTTAGCAAGTAACAGGGGTGCTATTAGCCTCTCCGTTATTATTCCTTTTTTAGAATGAGAATGAGAATGAGATGCGACCTTTAAATATGATGGGTTCCATCATGCAAATACAAGTATGAGTGGAATTGTATTGAATGCTTTATAAGTTTCATGATCACCAATGAAGGAATATTTGTGGTATTTTATTATGTTAATGGATATTTGTATTTTTACATTATTTTTTTATAAAATTATGTAAAAAATAATCAATTGATAAACACATTTAAATATCAGATAAACATTAAAATACTTCATAAATATCAGATTTTCTTTCTTTGGTCAAAAAGTACATTCATTTTTCGGTCTACAATATGGCTACCGAGAGTGAATTACAAATTGGTTCATGTGGTTTATATTTATTAACACATTGGGTCCATAAATCTAACTCTGTCCAAAAAAGATTGTCAACTCAGTTAGTTTAGAGGGGTATTTTAGTTATTTAATTTATTTTTTTGTTTTGCTATTAAAACCCACATGGACCAAGAATATAATTTACTCTGTGTATTTTATTAAACCGAACCAAGAATGTAATTTACTCTATCTTCTTCATCTTTCCTAACACAGGGATCAAATGCAAGACAATCTTGATCCATAGGATGACGACCCTACTCGCCCCATCTCCGATTGGCCGCCGTATGAAAGACATCCCCGACAAAGTAGATCCACCACCTGGAAGCAGATCCCTCGGCCTTCACCTCCATCTCCGTTCCTTTTCTTCTGGTTTCTATTCATAGGCATAGATGGTGGATTTCAAATATGGGTTTGGTTTGCATCTGGCCTCCAAGCACCTACATCTCCTTCCCTTAAACCGGTTGCTCAACTCCAGGTCTAAAAAGGTTTATTTCTAGTTCTTGAAAATCTGGTAGTTATGAAGATTTGTACAGTTTAAATTCGATTATATTTTTCTATAACTTTACAGTTTCAATTTTCTTTCCCAGTTTGAATTCAATTTTTAGGGTTTTGAAGTTTGGCTTCACAATGTTTAATATTCTTCACATTTTCGTATAATGTGTTCTTGGTGTTTAGTACTGTTGATAATTTAAGGAGTGTTTGAGATTGCTTATAAAAATAACTTATTGACTTATTCCAATGTGACCGGTAATAAGCAATTTGGAGTGTTTGGATAAACAACTTATACTGGTGCCAAACCGGTAACAAGAAATTTTTGAATAAATTAAACCTTTCAGACTTATAATAAGTTGATAAAAACAATCCCCAACACCCCCTTAATCTTGATATTTTTGTACAATGTGTTTATCATATTTATAATACCCCTATGTACGAGGAGAGATGAAAGATGAAGCAAGAAGATGACGATTACATTCTTGGTCCCTATTGGTTTTAATAGAAGATAAAAATTAAATTAGATGACAAAAATACACCCTCTAAACTAAACCTGAGTTAACAGAATTTTTAGATGAAGTTAGATTTAGGGACTCGATGTGTTATAAAATACAAACCACAGAAATGTAATTCGTAGATATTTTAAAATAGGGGCCCAAAGTGTTAAAACACATAAACCATAGTGACCAAATTTATAATTCACTCTAATTTTAATAATTCTCTTTGTTCATGAATGTAAAATATCAACAACCTTTCTCTTTATCAAATTTACCCTCTAGAGGTTATTTTCAATGGCAATGGGCAATGGGCATGCTCCTACTGATAGCTACAAAACTAACTACAGATGACTAATCAGATACCATTTTATGTATGATTCAAGGAGGGTAAACCAATCACAATCCCAACAAAAACTTCACCATGGCCTTGTTGTGACCTTCACATAACCTCATTGAGTCGACCCTCGAAAGGTTCGACCTGTGGGCGTGGGTGAATGGTTAAAAAAACAACACTCAAATGGTCCAAACCCAAGCCAATCATCCCATCCTGGAACGGTTTTGCTCGAATTCTAAGCAAAATTACAGACCAACTATGAAATTATTTGTAAGCGAATTTGTAATAGAAAGGGTAACATACAGAACGAGACTGTTATCATCGCCATAAATAATGGTTAAGAAATCTCTCCCATATATCACTTCAGTTTTGCAAACAGCGTAGGTGCAACCTGCAGTCATACAAGCCTCGAATGATATTGGATTTGAATCATGAGAACAGAAAAGAAGGATACAGGAGAAAAGCCTTACGCATTTGTCAACACATTGCCAATAATCGAAGTACTGTCCCGTGCAATGCTTGTGGCCCGTCTCATCTGCCTCCACCCTTTTCACGCATCCCTGTTGATTGTAATAAAGTTTAATGTTCAATTTTATTTTTTATCTTCCTGTTGTTTTGGTCCATCCCAACAATTATATACTTGCAAAATCCAATGTTTGATGCCTAAACAGCACTCATGGCAGTAAGAAATTCTTAAAAGAAGTGGAAGAGAGAACCAATAAAAATATTGGGAAAGAGCCATTTCAAACAAAGTTACTCACAACAGGTGTGTTTAGGGTGGGTGAATGAATTGTGCAGGGTTTTAGGGTTTTAATTTAAGATGGTAGCTTAGTAATTCAACGTTTAGCCTATGTCCCTGATTATTGTTCCACGTATATTGATGGAAAGGAAAAAATGCATTTTTGCACCATGCAGCCCTGTCCAGTCCCAGTCTAATTGTCACACCAAACACGGAAATTTTTTCATTCTGTTGTCTAGTATTATCCCGTGTACCAAACATACCCTAAAAAGCTCGATTCATTTGTCTGAACTTGGTCAGGTGCAATTCATATTACCCACATGATGCTATCGGTATGGATTAATCCTAGCTATAAGCCTAGCTTCTTGTCTTGAAAATATTTTCCATCCGGTAAATCTACAAAGGTATTCCATTCTTATGGCTGAATCCAAATCAGGATGCTTCTTCTTTTGCTTCAGGGGTCCATCCCCAACCAACCTTCTCAGCCTTTTCGTTTCAAGAAACTTCAATTTCAGAACCTATTTCTGGTTTGACAGACAACTCGTTTTCTATAAATCCCATGGCCAGGATTTACTTTTTTCCAGCAAGAGGTGAAGACCAAGAGTCGGTGCACAAAACATGCAATGATAGTTTTACGAAAGAAGAAAAAAGATATTTCCTAAAGCTCCACCAGGAAAAAATACAAAGAAAAAGACCTTTGGGTGTGGAGAAAAAAAGGTTAACCCCTCTCACAGTCCCAATACAACAACCCCCACTTCTCTTATTCCCAACAATCATTCACAAGGCTCCACTTAAAACATCTCAATTTTTTTCTGAAAAAGGAAAGAAAATGCAAGATATTCAAGCAAATTTCAAGTTCAAAAATAGAACACCAATAGAGACTAAGAAAAGGCACACGGCTAGTCAAAAACCTGAGTAGAATATTAAGCATCAAGACGTCTAATGAAAAAAGAGAATAAATAGGAATGCGGGTAACAAAAAGGAAGGTAAAGAACAACAAACTTAAAATTCATTACAAGGTAATATCGTATAATTCGGAGGAGGAGGACTTGAAAATTATAAATTGAGGAAGATGTCTCTGTAAAAATGGGTTGTTGGAGAAACCAGAGTTGGTAGCAAGCTCGGCAATTTCATACAAAAAAAGCATCTCAAGGAGAAGATTGCTACATAGAACTCAAGGGAGTTTAATTCATCTCAAGGTTAATAGCTAGTTGGCTTTTATAGATCAAAGTTTTTTCAATGTATTCACTGTTAGCACGAATCTAACAGTTTCAGAAGTATTGAAGCCTTAAACAGAAGTAGATAGTATATAAGGTATATATGTAATTCATGATCACTTCCAAAATTACAAGCTTGACTGTACTTAAATTGAACTTCGAACATAAAATCTTTAATCAAACACAGTAAAACAGTACGACATTGGCTTTTATATATGGTACATTATTAATCAAGTAGTAGCCTAAATTTGACCTTATGAATGCTTGAACACACAGAAAAAGAAAAAACACAACAGATCATGATGACCTCCTGATACAGGTGCACTACTTTTGGATGATTCATGGGCCCCTGAATGCCTGATAGTGTGTTGTGGTTAATATAAAAATCCCCGTAAAACATGCGCACTAAGTATCTTCCCAAAAGTCAAAACAGATCAAACATACGAAAAAAAGATAGCTTGGGAGAAAAACTGAAATGCCTAAAAAATGAAAGAGCGGGCATGAGAATAGGTTCCTAGAAAATGAACATACCAAGGAAAAGGGACTAAATGAACCAAAGAAAGTATTAACCCCTCAATGTTATGCTTAGTGTCAATTGTCAAATGAAGCCAAGATCATTGAAAACCGAAAGATGAAACCATATGTGTACACAAATGCACACAATAACAAACCCAAGTAAGCCAATAAATACCCTAACTCACATTTGAACCTAAAAGCCCTCTTAATGTGTAGTTTCGTGGAAATTTCTGAGAATTGCTTCAAATACGTCAAAAGCAAAATACATACTTTTCGCTTGGGAAGGATACATATTGCCTTGAATATGCGAGAGCAACAATAATTGTTTCAAACGCATCAAGAACAAAATATATAATTCACGTTTGGGAAGGCTATTTGAGTAAATATGCATTGCCTTAAACACGCGAGAGCCTCGAATGAATCCCGTGAGTATCCATCCAAGCAGATCACTTTCCAAATTCCCTGGTGAATATAGTATGTTCACAAACTCATTTGAGGTCGTGTGTGTAGTTTGTTGAACTCGGTGTTGTGTCGGTTTTAACCTTTGAGTAAAATAAATGCTCTAGATGTGTATCTTGATTAACATGTGAATGCAATATTGGTTGTGTTTGTGCATCAATAAGGTTAAATGCTTAGTTATGTCACGTGTGAGCATGATTGGCTTGTTTTCGTTATTTTTGAAGATCATTTTTTGTGTTGTTTTCCCCATTTTTTGCTTTTCAGAGTTATTTAGATTTCCGCTTTGATGAACAGAGGGAAGAGTTTTGCTTGAAGATTTTGTTAGGTTGTTAAATTTTACATCTTTTTAGTGTTAATTTAGTTAGTTTGCATATTAGTTTTGCTTATATTGTACATAATTAGCATAAATTGCATTGCATCCTTCTCCATCACGTCGTCGGGTAGTGGTCGAGTAACTAACGGTTTTTATTGACTTTACGCTAACCATACAAATATGGTGATCAAATCGTTAGCCAAATTGAAGGAAACCGAAACAAGGCAAGAGAAAAAAAGTGTGTTAAGAACGGCAAGGACCATGCCAATTTTACGAAGAAAGTGGCATGGACCGTGTATACTGGGCAGAAGGTTTTGCACCAGCAGTGCTCAAATATATAGAAAAGTTGCATCGGTCGTGCGTGTGCTCCAAAGAGTTGGCACAAACCGTGCCAAGCTGGTGAAGAAAATGGCACAGGCCGGACAAAGCAGAATGGCAGGTCCTGATCCGGATTTTTGTTCTCTTTTTTGCAACCATCTACTTTATATGTTTTATTATGTAAGGTTTTATCTCCACCATGCTTTGGTTAATTTCTTTGTAAGGCGGTAGGCATATATCTCCTCCAAGCTTAGACATTATCCATCTCATATCTCTCTCTCTAAATTTCTCATAGTCGCTTTACTCTTAATGGTAGAGGTCAAGCCTACATACATCTTACCATCCTCAAACCCACCTTAAGAGAGATATATTGACTTCGTATGGTTTGGTTTGGTTTCTTTCAAACATTCTCTCCTCTTAAAACTTGGAGCCTTGTTCTTCAATTCCAGTAATCTTATATTGTGTAAGAGGTAATGTTGGAGCGTTTGAAGTTATCATATCTCTTTCCCTTTGCCTTCTATTTCTTGAATGTTACAAAAATAATGTTTGCTTTCCCGGATTGTTTGGTATGTCTTCAAATGTTTTTATGAGTTTCTTTACTCAATATTGTTCCTATTTATGTACAGAATGTTAGTTTCTGTTTTTGTTTACATATATGCAAGCCTATGTGGTTAAATTGGTAAAAATATGAAATCGCAGTTAGGAATGTGATTTCCTATAGCGGTTATTGTGACGGTCTAAAGGTCCAAAATAATGATTTAGATAATAATTAGAATTTTATATATAGAGAGAAAGGTTCATTTGAGAAGTGGTATGTATTTGAGAAGTAAAGAACTGATCCTAACCCTTCATCTGGTCAACATTTACGGCTTTGGCCGTGAAGCACCAGATAATTCCTCGCATGGATATACAGAAGATGGAGGGGCAGTTTTGTAACTTTTACAAATAGGCGACAAACAAGTTCATATGTGAATCCCAAGGGTTCATATGTGAATCCCAAGGGTTCATATGTGAATTGCACAGGTTCATATGTGAACATATAGTTCATATGTGAATCACATAGGTTCACATGTGAATCACATAGGTTCACATATGAACCTGTTTGCCGCCTATTTGTAAGAGTTACGAAACTACTCCTCTATTTTTCGCATAGCCGCAATTTTGACCAATCAAAGATGCAATTCTTGACCAGTCAAAGCCGCAATTATTGACCAGTCAAATCCAATCTTGACCTAATAAAGGGCTAGGATCCTTTCTTTACTTCTTAAATATTTACCACTTCTCAAAATAACCTTTGGCTACATATATATTAGATGTATTCAATAAAAATTTACAACTTCAACATCAAAACATAAACAAGTCAAGTTTCACGCAAACAAATCACTAAGGGGCCGTTTACCAAACACTTACCCGGGTAAGTGCTTACCAGGAAAATTCAACACTATTACTTACTTGTCAGTTAAGATTTTAGTCCACCAAAAGGGTATCATATGCAACAATTTTACCCGGTAAGCGCTAGATGTGGTAAGATTCGTCTGCCTCACTTACCGGGTAAGATTCTCAGTGTTTGCCTTCGCTCTTACTGGGTAAGATTCTTGATCCTTGACATGTGCATCCTACCAGGTAATGTGACTTGGTAACTGCTTACCCGGGTAAGCGTTTGGTAAACGGCACTAAATCATTGACCCATTAAATCTGAATATTGTTGGACTAAAATCAAACCCAAGCAAGGTCCAAACTCCAAAATGAAAGCCCAAAACATAGTTACTTAACACCAAAACAACCCATCTAAAGTGGATGTTATTTGGCCACTATTTAGAGTTCAAAATGCAATCACTTAGCGCTATAGCGCAGCTAATCACAGGACACTATTCTAGACCACTATTTGGCCACTCTTGTTTGGCCCATGACCCCTAACCGCTATAGTGGCACGATTAACAGCATAGATGTTGGATAAGTAGTTAGGTTTTATTTTGTTATTTTGTTCGGATACTTATCAGCTAAAGTTTACTTTTAGTAATTTAGTATAAGTTGTGCAATGACGTATGGCTTTTTATTGAGGATTTCACCAACCATACTTGATCTTCGGTTATCGAATGGTCGGTTTTACAGTTTATCAACAATGAAAGATGGGATATGATCGAATGTCGGTTGTCTAGTAATCTTTTATTTAACAAATTGATTTAAAACTGAAAGGTTGATTTCGATTATTAGGCGGTTGGTCAACGATTTTAGATTTTACCATAAAATTAAGTAAAAGCAAGAATCATGGCAAATGCTTTATTAAATCTTAATGCCCCTAGTTGAGTCGACCGTCAGAACAGTAGTTAACCCACTTAGTTGGAAAGGCTTCTTTCACGTCGTAAGAGGGTTTTCAGTATTTTCGAAAGATAAATCCTCAACTAAATGGATATGTTCGACATTTCTACTTCCATATAATTGTGATGTTGTAGTTAAATAGATGTCGTAGTTAGTTTACTTTCTGTCCTTTTACTCACTTCTTTATATGATTGTCTTAGTTTATCCTTAATTTGTTAATCACCTCTCCAATTGTCATTCACATAACTAGTTCAAGACTTATAACAGAATTAGTACTTAGGCCTTTGTCTCCCTAATTCCCGTAAGTTTGCAGTTAATTTTAAACACATCAACTTGTGTGAACGGCTTCGTTTGCTCATTGATTCTCCCCTGTTCTTACAGTGTTTCAATTAATTTCAAGAACATAAAAACATCATGTTTGTTTAATCGTTTATAAATACAAGATCCAGATGACGATGGGTCAAAAGAAGGAAACAAAAACACTACTAAAACAAATAAGGTCTCAGTGGAACCCTAGGATCTTATGAGTAATGCTCCAGACGGTTGCAAATAATAGAATAGAATAATTTGACAATCAAAAAATCGTCCGTAGTAATAACAAAAAGAAAAGAACAACAACAAAGTAGGAACAAAATTTGTCTAAAACCACCCAAAAAAGCGTTTGGCCTAGTAAGCAGCATAGCAAGAAGTCAGCAAACTTAAACCAACCACAGGGTCACAAAGTCAAACCAACTCAAAAGCTCATTAAACTAAAGCATAAGCAAACACAACCATTGATTTCATTCCTCAAGTGAGACCTTGTACCGAACCACTCGTAGAAAGGTTGCATTATGTAAAACATGATTACAAATTCATAGCTATAAGAATATAATCATATATATATACATGCTAGTATAGACCTCACAAATTGAAAGGATACATTTCAATTTTCAAACTAATGGTGTATTAGAAATTCAGAATGAACCTGATAGTCAAGCCAAGCTCTAACACACTTGGGTTTGCACAAATCTTCAAAGTGCCTTTTCTGGTCAACTGGTTCTTCATCCGACCTTCAAAGAAAAAAAAACAGAATTAAATCAGCAGAATCTCAAACAGAAGAGTGTAGCAAGCCTCTTCCTTATACGTAACTTCAGAAATATAAATCATACAAATCAGTGACAAAGAAAAGTAGTAAATGTGGTATGGCTTGTTTGCCAAATCAAGCAGCCTAATATTTTTGTAAAGACTACAGCCACACAGGATTGTCACTAGTTCCCAAGTGGTGACCTTTAGATCATCTCCAATGGGACGGAGCAAATCTTTTGTACCAAGGTTCAGAATTACACTTGGATGAAGATCCACGCCAATATTGAAAATCAGATTTCAGTACTTGATAAAATAAATCGGTGATTACTTACATGATACTATACGAATACAACACAGTCAACACCTCAAAGAAATCCTTTGAATCGAGTCACCTGCACAGGCACCATTTCCAAATATATAATTTCACATATTGTGTATGTTCGTATTAGAACCCTAATTAACAGATCGAAATAAAAAGAACATGGATCTAATCCGACCGATTTGAAATCAATGGAGAAGACGAAGGAGGACGCACCGTCAAAGGGTTTCAAGCCGCAGTCGTCGAACGAAAATCAACACAACGGTGAATGGAGTAAGAACTATTTTTTCTATAAAAACGTTAATTTCTCATTTTTATAGAGTAAATTGCACTTCTGATCCCTATGTTTTATTGTTTTTCTCGGATTGGGTCCCTAGAGAATTTTTATTGCCCGGAAACCTCTATGGTACGCAAAATTGCTCGGTTTTGGTCCTTGAGGCTAACAAAGGTTAAAGAAGTCCATTAAGACAAGGATATTGTGGTCTTTTCATTTTTATCTCCTTTATCTTTAAAAAGAAAAATTAATTAATATAATATGTACTATACTATAATAATATAATATTTATTTATTTATATATGTGTATATACTTAACAACGATCTCCGACTTCCACGAACCTACTACTGACAAAACGACGATCTCTGACGCCCATGTCTTCCACGGACCTCTCTACTCATCTTTGTGTCAGCCATTGAAGAATCCTACCATAGCAACCACGAACCTCTCCTCCCTCACCCATTTCCTACAAGTCTTTGCCCCCCACCATTACACCGTCTCTGGTTCCTCCTTCTCATATACAAATCAAATTATCGAGAACCCATTTAAAGAGCATCTCTAAATAATAGAGTTCCTTCAACTGATTTCATTCATTCATAAACTTGCTTATAAGATGAGCTCACAACATATTTGGGTGCTTATTTGGCCAACGATCTCGTTGTGCTTTTGTTCCCCGATATTCCTTGAAGTGGTGTGAGAGTATGAGAGAAGAATGATGTCGTTATGGACAATGACAGAGATTGGTGGTGCATCAGGCATCATTTGAGAAGGAGAGAAGAGCAAATATTAGGATTTTGTTGGGTTAAAGATGCCATCAAATGATTCCCACAGAGGAACATGGTAGGGAATGGTTTAATTTTTTTAATAGAAACTAAATAATAAGGTAAAGAGAATATTGCATCAAAATGGAACCAACTTCACCTTGATTTCTATTTTAGGGAACAAACTTTCAAAATCCTCATTTAAGGGTCTAGAAGAAAGTTACAACTTTTGAAGGGTATGGTTGACATATTGAACAAGTAACCAGTCACCAAAATATGACGTGGAAAATCTTAAATTATAAAAATATTACACAGATATTTAACTTGACATATAATTATTAATTAAAAAAAACTAAGAAGATGAGCACAAATCAAAGTTAGGAACTTGCAAAACCCAATCGTCGTTGTGTTCCCTCCTTCTTTCATGCTGCGTCTTCTCCTCTGGGGGCCATTGCCACTCTATGTTGTTGTTGTTGCATCTCCGTTTCTTTGTCACCACTTTAGATCTTCCTCTTCTCATTGCCACCGTCTTCCCCTGCCCTTCTTTTCCCATCTCGGCCACGATAGGTTGTGGAGTTCAACTTCGAGTAACGATTCAGGTTAAGGTTTATTATGATTTCTAATTAGACAATCTTGAGTACAATTTGTTAAGTGTTTACATTACTAAGTTGGTTTGATGTATGCGATTGGTCTTATGCTTATAAATTTTGATGAAAATGGAATTTGGCCTATGAATTTAACCAACGAAATTAGGGTCTGTGAGATATGTTCATAGTATTGAGGTATATAAGAAAGAAAACCTGGAAGAAGTTACTAGAGAGAGTGAGAGCAGACATTGAGAGGAAATTCTCGTAATTTACGTTTTGAAGTCGTTCAAGCTTATGCTCTTGTTTTAATATATAAATTCTTGTATATTTTTAACATTTATTCTTCAATTTGTCATTGCTTCTTTACATTAAGTTCTACGCTTACCGTCTTTACATTCCGTCATTTACTTCTAGTATTTATTTTTTGTCGGTTCAGGGTTTACGGTTTTAGGGTTTAGAGTTTATTTGACTTTAATGTCTTTACTTTCTATTATTTACATTTCCTTACAATTTATTTCTATGATGAGTAGTTAAATTTTTTTAGCTTGGGTGTGAGACAAAACCAAAGAAAAGTGGACATCGTTTTGCAACAATGATGTTTCATTATTTCATTTCAAGTTTTATAAAACCAAAAACACTTATTGACGAATTGACCACTTTAAAAAGTGTTAAAGCGTCATGATCTTAGGAATAAGCCACTTGAATGCACTGTCAATTAAAATGATATGAGAAGTAGACTTGGAAGAGTTGCTGACAAAAGAATTTCCTATCTATGTTTTTCAAATTGATTAATTCTTGACAAGTTGGTCACTTGCCAAAGTGTTCAATTGTGGTGCACTCGGTAATGAGCCACTTAGCACATATCAACTTGGATGAGTGATTTTAAACAATAGACTTGTTGATCCATTTTTGTCCTCGTTCAACACTACCACTGGTTTTGATACTACATAGAGATATGTTGGTTGAAAGCTAAACAACAGTGTAATGATGGATATTCTCAAAATAGATTGTGGAACTAGTTATTGCCAACTACTTGTTGTAGGATTTGCATAGCATTGTCTATTGAATTTGTGTTTATGTCTCACCAGAAGTCTTACACCCATGTTTCTTTCTTTATATTCAGTTATTTAAGTAGCGTTAATCCAAACCAAATCAATTTTTTCAAATTCTCCATCTGAAGTTAGTCTTTCAACTTGAGATTTTGCAACTTAAGATACATATCCATGTGGAATACGATATTTGGTTATTAACATTTTATTACTTGAAGACGATAATGTTGACACATGTATACTTGCATGAGATACCGCTTAGCATTGTAGAGATACAATTTCTAGCCTCCATCAAATTTTTAACATTATTGTCGAGGATAAATTAAATTAAATTAGTATTTTAAATTAAAAAAAAGTTTAATTTAAAAACAATTAATAATTAATTATAAAACAATTAGGTAGATGGTCAGCGGGTCAAGCTAGAGAGACTGGGCTTGTTTGGACTTGGATCCGGAATTATTATGGGCCGCTAATTTCAACTTTTTACAAAACCTTATTTTTACATATTAGAAGTTTAGAACGGTGTCGTGCAATGCAGCGAGATACATTTTGATTTTAATATTTCATTTTATTCTTTATCTCAGTCGATATTATAATATGGTCTTACATGATTTTTAAAAAGTGATGATGTTTTTATTTTTGAATAAAATATAAATTTGAAGATATCAACTACAAGGGTGGTGTCTGATTGGTTTGAGCTTGGCTCCAAAGGTCAAAAGTAGCGGGAGGTCCCAGGTTCAAATCCAAGAAGGAATAAAAATCCCCTTGTGGCCATGGAGGTTCAAATGCGGTGACTCCGGGCTATCTGCAAAGCAGGTGGTCGCCCTGGGATTAGTCGGCTCGCATAGCAGGTTGAATTACCCGGGTAAGAGTTGTCACCCTCACTTACCGAGTAAGACTCTCCATCTTTATCATTGCTCTTACCGGGTAAGATTTTGACCCTTTCCATATTCATCTGGTAAGGAAAATTATCCGGTAAGCACTTACCAAGTAAGCGTTTAGTAAAAGACCCCTAAATTTGGTTGTAAATTTTATTACTTTAAAATTTAGGGTGTTGCATAGAAGTGTACTTTAGGTTGGAATCTATTTTTTTGATCCTTTTTTTACATAATTTATTTTTTTGAAGTTTTTTAAATAATATCAAAGTGTTATTTTAATACACTTAGAAATATGTAATTGGGTCAATTAAATACACTTAAAAATATGTTTTTTATGAGAATACGAGCCGAAATACGAATAATAACAACAATTGTGAATGTTTGTGAGTTGGTATCTTTCCAAAAACACCATGTGACTTATATAGAGTGAATAGAGGGTAAATGAGACAAAAAAGATGGTCAAAAAATGGGGAAAATAGTCATGGCCGTTGGGTATCGGCAATAAAACAATAATATTTCTAAAGAATTGAGTCATTCCTGGGCCAGGCCTTCTGTTTTGACGAAAAGTGTAACCGCTCCTGGACCGCCAGTCCCCAAACCGGTCCCAAACAGTCTCGAGCTGGACCCATTTGACCATCTCTAGTTGGAACTCGAAAACTGGAATGACTCATATTAAACTGGAATAAAAAATATAAAATAATGTAATCGAAAACTGAACAAATATAAGTTGGTTTAGTATCAGTTTGGTTTCAGTTTAAAAACCACTTGGTCCCAAGCCGAATTTATGAATCGAAATACTGAATACATAATTGTTTTAAACTGAAGAATAAATATATAACACATCATTTCAAATTTAAAAAGAAAAAAAAAAGGTTTGGGATAAGGTTTTGATTGAACCGATCAAATAAAACCAGTATGAAATTTTTGAGAAAAAAATTTTAAACTGAAAATCGGACAAACATAGTGGCTTCCTATCCAAACTGATCAATCTCACATTAATTATTCAGTTATGTAGGCATTGACTGAGTTTTGCATTCTTTTGTTATCCATCGTCTGTTTTCTCCCAACATCATCGTCATCACAATCTTAAGTGTCCACGCAAACATTCTGATGTTAATTTTTCAAGTTGTAAAACTCATTACGTATGTTCATCGTGTTTGAATTGAACTGGACTGATCAAACAAAATTTGAAACATAAAAAAACCAGTACAATCTAAACAAAACCGATCTAAATTATTAAAGATCATTAGGATTAATGAAGGCGTGCATAAACTAACTCGAAAATCAGTAGTTGAAAAAAGTTGGAGCTGAAATTATTTTTGGGTCGTACAAAGGATTGATGTCGACAAAACGTAAAATAATAAAAAGTCGAAAAATATAAAAGGGAAATTTCGTTTTGCACAATTTCGTTGGGTCCTGTTCCGTTTCTACATTCATCTGTATTTTTCTAGATTTTATGTACTTATTTAAATCTGTAAAATTTTACTGTATTTAGATCTAAAAAAGGTGACGTAACGAACTATCTCGGTTTGAGTTACGAGTCAAAAGTTATGACCACTCAAACGAAAATAGAAGATGAAGTACAATTTTGTAAAGTGGTAGTAAAAGTGTTGTGAAACAATTACGTGTTAAAGGTTATGGTCCTGAAGTTTATTACAGAAGTACACAATGAGATACTATTTTGTATAGTGTTACAAAAGGGTTTCACGTTCATCTGTATCTTTGTAGATTT